TACATAAAAAAACAACGTAACTCCAGACATGATGGAGGAGAAGTATAAGAAAGCTCATGCTGCTATAGGAGAGAAACCAGTTTATGAGAAGAAGCCTAAGAAAGAAGTTAAAAATAAGAGGTGAAACGTCTCAAACTGTCTCTTGCCCAGAAGAAAGATCAAGTAGCTCAGAAGAAGGCAAGCTTCCTCAGAGCTCAGGAATGGGCTGCTGAGAGCTAATAAACCAAGTCACAATTTTCTATAAAGATTTTTCAGATACAGACAATAATATACTTATTGATCAAGCAGCAAAACAAAAGTATTGTCATAACAGTATTCACCATTCACCACCACACACACATGTATATACACCCTTTAGGGACATTTTTGTGTGTACTTTCTCTCCTGGGTTCCTTAATTATTGATTAAAATAATAATAAATTATCATTGAAAAATAAATTTAAAGATGCTGAGAATAGCTAAATTCATCTACCTAATAAAAAGTAGGAAAAGAAAATAGGAGATTAAGTATTTGCTGGGATTTTTTCAAGAACGTGTAGCAAGCTGGAGTTCTAAGGAAACATGAAAACAGCAATTTGGAGCAGTTAATAATATAAATGCAACTAAGAGGAGACAGGTGAGAGAGGACATTTTACAGTGCTTCATACTGTTTTCTTACCTCTCTAGACCATCACTAGGAGACTTTGACACATACTGAAATCACTTTCCAAACTTTTGACATATATACATATATATATATATGCATCAAATTAATGCATGTATATATGTCAAATTAAATAGTGCCAAAAATTTATAATGTTCTCCAATACACTCCCCTAAACCACTTCCAGAGGCAATCACTTCAACTGTTTTAGTTTTATCTTTTAGTATTGATCTCACTATTTCTAAATAATGCGTGTTTTGCTATTTCTTGTATTAATAATTTATCAATTATCTACAAGCTACCATTATCATAATAACTAACTCTAATGTACATAATTCAAAATGCATTTTATAAATATATTTAACTACTATTCATAATAAACCAGTAAAGAAGTGTATCTTTTAACATGCACATTTTACTAATAACAAAAGTGAAAACAGGGAGGTTAATTAACTTGCCCAGGGTTACAGACTTTACAGAGTTATGAAGGATTTAAACTCAAACAATCTGCCCTTACTCTTAACTACTTGCCCTTTATAACTACAGCCTCTCAAAATAAATGAGGATTCAGCTTTCTGACGTCACCCCTTACCCTCATGTCTAATATATTTTTTGTAATCTTCACCTGAGGACATGTTTTGTTTTGTATTGTGCTCTTAATTGATTTTAGAAAAAGGAAGGAAAGAGAAAGAGAGAAACATCGATGTAAGAGAAACATCAATCGGCTACCTCCCATATGTGTCCCGACAGGGAATTGAACCTGCAATCTGAGTATGTGCCCTGAGCGATATCGAGCCTGCCACCTTTCGGTGTAAGGATGGCACCTCAACCAACTGAGCCATATTGGCCAGAGCTTCTAATATTTTTAGTTAAATCAATAAACAATGTTTATATCATTATGGCTACATATACATTGTTCACAAATGGCCAAGCAGTTTAACATTTCTTTCTTGTAAAGCTTTTTTGAGAGACTGTCTTGTTTTCATTCTTAAGTAATTTTCTACATATATATACCTACTCTCAAAATGCTCCATCATATCACCTCCATATCATCCATGCCACTAAGTCTCCTTTTCCCAAAGCCACCTCCTGCCACTTATCCAAATGGTTTTCAATCACTTTTTAGAGGGAGTCATCAAATTGGTATATTCTTTTATTGAAAATAGTGTACTGAGATTGAGCACAAGCAGTTCAGTGTTATTGAGATAAATGAAGATTGGAAAATTCCTTGGGCAATAAGGAAAACAATATGGATGTACTTATATACACATAAAATACATTTGGAGCACACAATTGTGGACTAATTACCTAAATTGTGAATTAACAGTGAAAGGAAGAAAGGAAGGTAGGAAGAAGGGAGGGAGGATTTGAAAACATTGAAGTTGCCACAAATCAATGAAAACACCTACATTTTAAAAGCCATCTATGTCTGGAAGCACATAATAATAAAAAGACACCATACAGTATATACTGCAAAATGATAGTAGCATTCACCATCTAAAGTTAAGCTTTAGTCAAAACTGTTATAGCCAGTAAGCTATCATTTTATGTAAATTTGAGCTGCACACTGTTGCAAGTTTAAATGTAACAAAATAATGCTAGTTACCAAACTGTCACAGTCCTGACCAAAATACGCTATTGTTAACATTGAAAAAAAGGTTGCCCAATAAATGGAATATTTAACAATTTGTAATTAAAGAATAAGTGTTTCATCATTTGGAAAAGTAAAAAGACAGGGTAATATCTTTTATATCTTTGTTAAAGTCTTCAATTGGTATAGGCTTAAGAAATTTTTTAAAAAATTAGTCCTTCACCCTAACCGGTTTGGTTCAATGGATAGAGCATCGGCCTGCGGAATCAAGGGTCCCAGGTTCGATTCCGGTCAAGGGCATGTACCTTGGTTGCGGGCACATCCCCAGTGGGGAGTGTGCAGGAGGCGGCTGATAGATGTTTCTCTCTCAGTGATGTTTCTAACTCTCTATCTCTCTCCCTTCCTCTCTGTAAAAAAATCAACAAAATATATTAAAAAAAAGAAATTAGTCCTTCAAAAACCTGGTTCAATCTATGATGTCATGGGTCCCTAAATGCTGTGACAATTTACACTCAACCCATTTGGTAACATACTATGACTAGTTTTGTTTTAATATAATTTTTGGTTGTCTAAGACCTCCTTCTCTTCTCTCTTCATTACTACAGTTAATCAAGAGTTACAAACATATAAACACGCATACACTTCCTAATATAGGAGAGTATTAATCAGAAACTCTTTATATATAACATGTATACTATAAAATATACATATTTGTTCTACTCATTGAAAAACAAAAAAATTATTTTATACATTCATTTTATGACACTAAAATGCAGAGAGTGGTAATAACCACAATTACTTTAAATATAAATGGATTAAATTCTCCAATCAAAAGACATAGGGCAGCTGAATGGATAAGAAAACAAAACCCCATATGGTGCCTATAAGAGATTCACTTCAGATCAAAAAAGACATACAAAGACTAAAAGTAAAGGGATGGAAAAAGATATTTCATGAAAATGGAAACAAGCAAACAAAAAGAGCTGGGTAGCAATATTTATACCAGACAAATTAGACTTTAAAACAAAGGCTAGCCCTGATCAGGCGGCTCAGTTGGTTGGAGTGTTGTCCTATACGCCAGAAAAGGTTGTGGGTTCGATCCCCAGTCAGGGCACATATAAGAGGCAACCGATCAATGTTTCTCTCTCACATTGATGTTCCTCTCTCTCTCTCTCTCTCCCCCCCTCCTCTCTCAAAAATTAATAAACACATCACTAGGTGAGGATAAATAAAATTTTTAAAGGCTATACTAGTATAATAAGAGAGACAGAAGGGCCAGAAATTCCACTTCTAGGTATTTATCTGAAAAAAAAAAAAGCACTAAATTGAAAAGACATATACATCTATATGTTGATTGTGGAATTATTTACAACCACCAAGATATGGAAGCAACCTAAATGTCCATCAGTAGATGAATAGATAAAGAAGTGGATCATATACGCAATGAAGGGAATATGACTCAGCCATAAAAAATGACTTTCCCTGGCAGTTTCTCAGTGGTTATAGCAACAGCCCATGGACCAAAGGGTCGAGGGCTCAATTCCCAGTGAAGGGCACATTGGTTACAGGTTTGATCATGCCCCTGGCATGTGTTGGAGGCAATCTCTCACTTCGATGTTTCTCTTTTTCTCTCCTTCTCTTTTGCTCCTTCCTCCCTTCCACTCTCTCTAAAAATCAATGGAAAAAATATCTTCATGTAAGGATTTAAAAAAAAAAAAAAGGAACATCTTGCCATCTGCAAAACACAGACGAACCTAGAGCAGGAATAGCAAAGTCCGGCTGTGAGCTGCATAAGGCCCACAAAAATCATTTGGTCTAGCCCTACCAAGGCATTAGGGATGAGCTAATTCAATGTTTGACCAAATATTTTTAAGTTGATAATTTTGTATGGCCCGCAAATGATATTATGAATATCCAAATGGCACTTGGCAGGAAAAAGGTTCCCCACCCCTGACCTAAAGGGTATTGTGATGAATGAAATGTCAGACAGAGAAAAACAAATGCCATATGATTTCACTTATATGTGGAATCTGAAAAACAAAATACACGAACAAACAAAACAAAAACAAACACAGATACAGAGAACACTTTGACAACTGCCAGATGGACGGGGGTTGGGGAGATAGATGAAAAGGGGGAAGGGATTAAGAAGTACAAACTGGTAGTTATAAAATAGTCATGGGGATGTCAAGTATAGCATAGGGAATATGGCCAATAATACTGTAATAACTATGTATGGTGTCAGATGTTTACTAGGTTTATCAGGGTGATTACTTCATAAGTTAAATAAATGTCACTATATTGTATAAATGAAACTAATATAAAATTGTATGTCAACTTTAACTGAAAAATCAAAATTAAGAAATAAAAGCAAAAAATAAAATATGCTGAGAGGCACTTCTATTTTAACAAGACATCAATGAATATAAGCTATGATCAAAATTTAAATAGCAATGATTTTACTAACTCTTTACTCACAAAAATCTTTTTTCCTTCACACAATATTGTTGAAGTTCTAAATTTCTATACTATTCAATGACAGTTTTTATGAAATAACACTATTTTCTCCATCTCCAAAGCATATAACACCATACTACCATATAATACATAAAAGAAACTATTTTTTTCCCGAAGAGAAAGCATTTATCATCGATTTATTTCCAGAAATGCTAAGCAGCTGGGAGGAACGAGCATGTTTATCTGTGTGTTTCCCTTTGTACACTAATATTCTATTTGAAATTGTGCATTTTATGAAGTCTTACTCACCTCTGCCGGATGCTGAATTATGTACAAGTAGGTAGAGATGTGCAGAGGATGCACTGGTAGAAACGGACATAAACACACTTTCTGAGGCCGGCTAAAGGGCATAAAGGAAAAGAAAGCCTGTAAATGTTTAAAATAAAATATGACAATAACCTGAAACTTGAACATAACCCAACTTTTTTATTTTTTAATCCTCATTGGAGGGTTTTTTTCTCATTGACTCTAGAGAGAGACGTGTAGGGAGCGGCTATAGGGTTAAGCCTCGGGCTGACCTGTTGACAAAGCCACAAACAAGTCCCAGTTTACAGGGCACAGCCCCCTTAGCATAATTAGGCTTGACCTTATGAAGCTCCCTAGATCTTATCTAGGTAGCTAAGGGGCTGCCAAAACAAGTGAAACTCACAAGAACACTGTAACTATGGTGACCACTACCTTGTTTACCTCTGGCTATAAAATAAAGCATCAGCTTGCTGTCTGTGTCTCTCTCTCTGTGGCCTCAGCCAGGCACAGGAGATCCACCTAGAATCAGACTCCGCTTATTCTTTGTTTTTTCTACATCCTTCACCGTCCCCGCCCACCCACCCCCCTCCCCCGCCCCTCAAGCTCACCAAATGCTCTGCACAGAGAAGAAGAGAGAGGTAAGAAAGGAAAGAGGGAAAGTGAGAGAGAAACATCAATGTGAGAAAGAAACATTGATGATTGCCCCCAGCACACACCCCAACTAGGCATCAAATCTAAAACATAGATATGTACCCTGACTGGAAATCTAACCCATGACCCTTCTGTGCACAGGATGAGGCTCCAACCACTGAGAAACACTGGCCAAGGCTAAAGTTGCATTCTTTTAAAATGAAACACCAAGAATGAATTTATTCACTCAGACTTTACATATGAGAATTTGAAAAAAAGATTCTAGTAAATTCTTTACCATCTAGATCAAAGTACCTCGAAAAAATCATGTCTTAGTTATCTGTAGTTGAACAATACTCATAAATCAGGAGCATAGTCTTTTATTCATGAAGCAACACTTGTACTAACTTGCATTCCACATCAAGAACAAATCTGATGTCAAAGAGAAACTTGGCAACTTTTCTACATCATCTGGAAGTTGGAGGGAACATTATGATGATAAAGTATTAGAACAGAATTACCACCTAAAAGAAAGTTCTAATCAAATTTAGACATCAATCAACACGGGAGCTTAATAATTGTGAGAAACCCAAACAGCAGCCACCAAATTATATTTGGCTGGAATTATATCCAAATACAATAGGCAGAGCATCTGCCTATATTCCCTTTTGCTGTTGTTTACTTTGTTGTTTTTGTTTTACTTTTTAGTAAGTAAAGCTACTACTGTTTCAGTAACACTTGTATTCATTACAAAATGCATATGGAATAAAAATGTGCACTTCCCATCTGAGCCCTCTAGCTTAGAGTATTCTCTTCTCTAGGGGCAACCAATGACCAGTTACTTGTGTGTCCTTTCAAAGGAATTGTAGAAACATACATGGATATTTTACCATTAACCCTACATTTGATATGTGTGTTTACCAGTATGAAATTTATCAAGCAGCCAGACACAGTGTATCATGGAAGTAAATTTTCACAACAGATCACTATTACAGACAGGTGTTATATGACATTACAATAGTGTACAAGTGAATGTGATATTATAGGGAATTCCCAAGAGCATACAAACTACTACAAAACTAACCACTATCAGTAATCTTGCTTATGCAGAGGGATAGCCTGAGGTAAGAAATGCTTATGCCAATAAACTTAGAGTGTGAGTAAATTGGTTCAATTGTATCTACAATCTCTTTCTGCAAGAAACTGTCAAACCTATGCTCCTGCTGAAGAAATTATCTATGTGATAATCTTAGGCAGAGGTATAAATGTATTTTACAACATGTCCCCACTCCACTCTCCATCATCAAAACTAAATGGATGATTAACCAAAGGAAAACCAATATACTTGCTTTCTAATAACATACAAAATTATTTGGTATGATTACTCTGCCCTACACTGGATTCTCTCCCAGGAATGTGAGATTTTAGGAATGGAGTCATTCCGTGGTCACAAGAAGAGTAAACAAAAGTAAACACAAAAAGGAACAGAGTGACTGACTGAACTAGGTATTTTGACAAACATATCAAGGGTGACAATTAGAAAGGATTCTCCATTCAGTAGAATAAAAAATGATGCACATTCAACTACTAAAACTTTAAGCTTCTGACTTATTATTTTTGTAATCCGCACCCAAGAATCTTATTGATTTTAGAGAGGGAGGGAGGAAGGAGGGAGGAAAGGAGAGGGAGAGAGGCACCAATGTGAGAGAGAAACTGATCAGTATACTATCCAACCAGGGATGGAACCCACAATCTAGCTATACGACCTGATGGGGAATCAAACCCACAATCATTCAGTGTACAGGATGATGCTCCAACCAACTGAGCCACCCGGCCAGGGCTAAGTATCTAACTCTTTTATATGTAACTCTGTATATGACTAAAGTGCACAGATGTCAGTAAAATTATTTTATAAAATGTAATTTCAGATAAGATGAAGCCATTTTAAAAATTCAGAATTTAATTTAATATCAACTTAAATATCTAAGAATACAAAAGAATGCCCCCCCCCCAAAAAAAACACAACTGTCCTATGCAGGAAACATCAGTAGAGCCAAAGAACTGCAATCAAGTAAACACGCTGGGAAGAAGCTTCAGATTTCTGTGAATAGCAGAAAACTAGGTAAACATACCCTGAAAATAACATCTTTAGCTCATGATATATATGGTGATTATTAAAGTCCTTAATATGACAGAATAGTGCAAACACTGCCCTGGTATTGGTAGCTCTGGGTTTCATGTCTGACCAAAACTTCTGTTCAGAAGAGAAAAAAAACAACAAAAAACTCAGTTACTTGAGATGGTAATTTCCTTACTGAGAAGACATTCTGAACTTTAGGAATATTTGGAATTAAGTAGTTTGGAGAGTTCCACTTACAGGATGATAGGGAACGTTGCTTCACAGACCCACTTGCCAGTGAAGCAAGCAAATACCGACAAAAACTATTTTTAAAAACAACCATTTAAAGTCTAGAAATTGCCCTGAGGACATATTCGAATAAAGAAATATTATTCAAGAATGCCTACTAAAATTTGGTATAGGCGAAACCAGACTCGAAAGGGTCCTAGTTGCCCACCACTACCAGAGTCAAGTAAGTACAGATGAGGTTGAATCCTTATGGTGCATTTATTAATCAGATAGCTGGCAATCTGAGAGAGCAGCAGGTATAACACCCTGAAAAGACTGCTCTGACCCTTCATTTCAAACAAGCTCATAGAGGGTTAGTGGGTGGGAAAAAATCTAAAGTTAGTGAGTTCCTACCCTAGGGTCTGCCTTCATTCATTGTCCTTGCAAAGAGTAGCCCCATAACACTGCAAAGATAGCCTGGAACGCTGTCTCCCTTCAGATAGATTCTGTCCTTGATCTGAGCTCCTGGCTGTCTTACCCCAGGGTCTGTTCTCCTTCTTATAATACGTTGTTTAGTTTCCCAGGGTCTATAAGAAAATCTCTTCTTCCCAGTGAGTAGCTATTAAACAACTATGATTCTATTTCCATTCCATGCCATCCCCTATCCCCGGGACAGTTTATGGCATCTGGGCCATAAACCATTTCCTACCTTGCCCCAGCTCAGGTTATGACATGCATTGACCACGAGGGAGCAGACAGTCGACTGGTCAATCAGTCGCTATGACATGCACTGACCACCAGGGGGCAGGCGCTCTGGTTAGGTTAGCTTGCTGCTGGGGTCCGGCCGATCAGGACTTATCGAGATGGGTCGGACATGCCCTGGAGCCTTCCCGTGGTCTCTCCCCAGAGACGCAGCAAGCTGAGTAGTAAGGAGCCATGAGCAGGCGGGCAGTAAGGAGCAAGGGATCCTGGACTGTGAGAGGGTGCAGGCCAGGCTGAGGGACCTCCCAACCCTGAGTGCACGGATTTCATGCAACAGGCCTCTAGTTTACTAATGAAAAAACAGCTAGCCCTAACTGGTTTGGCTCAGTGGACAGAACATCAGCCTGCGGACTGAAAGGTCCCAGGTTCGATTCCGGTCACGGGCATGTACCTTGGTTGCGGGCACATCCCCAGTAGGAGGTGTGCAGGAGGCAGCTGATCGATGTTTCTCTCTCATTGATGTTTCTAACTCTCTATCCCTCTCCTTTCCACTCTGTAAAAAATCAATAAAATATATTTAAAAACAAAACAAACAAAAAACATCTAAACACTTTATGTGTAGACACTGTAACTGATTTAGGCTGAAATTACTTGTTTTTGGCTTATGCTTTGACATGCTCATAAAATATCATCACCTATTTACTATAAAGCATGTCTCCTTTGTTAACCTAAGTCTTGTTACATTTACCTCAAATTTTAAAAAACTATAGTTCTTTTGAACATTTTGCATTATAACTGGTCAACTTTATATCTTAGCAAGTTACCTTACAATATGAATTTGTGCTTATTTGTTTATACGTTAACAGCAATTTTCCTCATACTCTTCTCTTCCACAATAGTCTGCATACACTGTGCTGGTGATTAGCTGTCCAAATGTTAAACCCTCTCTTACCAAACTAGTGGATAAGTGTATAGCAATTGCTCTCCTCATTCTAAAATCTTTTCCCAAAGAACAAGAATTCTTCCTATATACAAACTTAACTCTTAAAGATTTAAATATTTCAAATTGTTACTAGATTAAAAAATTATAAATTCCAAAAATTTTTATTCAAATATTTACTGTACACTTATGGGCCAGATATTAGGCACTTGGGGCAACAAAACAAAGATTCCTGCTCTCATGGAGCTTATTTGTTTTTGATATGCCAGAAAATTCCTTCCTTCCTTCCTTTGAACTATTGTGGTTGACAGAAAGAAAAAAAGTAACAGAAAACTACACATCAAAACATTATTTACACATAATGAACATTCATTTTAAAATAAAAAATCAAACTACTTCTAGAATCTGTACAGATCTAAGAAAGAAAAATTAATATATGAGGAAATATCAACTAGTCAACTGGGTATAGGTTTGG